CACCCAAGAAGAGGAAGCCTGGCGCACGCGAAATACAGGAGAAGACACTGTCCATGCGGTGTCTGTGAGGAGGCACGGTCCACGCGGCATAAGACAGGAGACTTGGTCCATGTGGCATAAGAGAGGAGGCATGGTCCATGCGGCGTACGGTAGGAGGCACGGTTCACACAGCGTACAGGGGGTCCAGTGGGTCGTTTGGTACCGGGCCACAGACCGGGGGTTGGGGAGTCTGTGCACAAGGATGTGTCAGGAACAGCTCTGGCCCACAATCTGTGGTTCAACACCTCATTAAGGCGCCCCTTTTTTTTTGCTCAGTTTTCTTCTTGTATATGGGCATGTGTTGTGTGATTAACTGTATATTATTTTCATCTTACTGTTAATATAATTGTTTTAACTGTTATTATTGTGTGTTATTTTAATAATTTCTGGTTTTACAGATTTATACCATAATTTGCTTTTTTGATTTGCAAGTTTTTTAGATTTTAATGTGGCCACAGTCACATTTAAGCAACTCTCGTCAGTGACAATAACACCATCAGAAGAGTCTTCTAAGGAGGACTGCAGGAAGCAGCAGAAACATGAAGCAGTTAAACACTACAGTCTGATTCAGCTTCAGATCTCACTGGATCATTATTACAAAGCTTCAGATTCCAAACACACACAGCCTAAAGGAGACCAACTCCACAGATTTATTTTCTCTGTCACATGTGGCTCCTGCGGCAGTGGAAGAGTGAGGACTTCACAAAATACATTGGTACTCATTCATAACAAACCCTTTAAAATCAGGACCCCGGTCTTTGGACCAGTCGCTCTTCACAGAAACTGGACCAGGTTTAGATCCAGATCCGGGTTGGTCCATCTTGGTCCTGCACAAAACAATGACATGAGAACTATGGTAAACAAAGAAACATTTAAAATACAGTGAACAATATTCAGAGAAACAAACAGCCTCGACACAAGAGGAAGTATCAGTTCTGTAGAGAGAACAGCTCTGGCCCACAGTCTGCGGTTCACCTCCACCTTAAATCCACACACACAGGGCTGCAGGCTTCAGTGACCAAACCCACAACAGTGTCTGAAAAACCTGAAATCTGAAAACCGCAAAGAGTCTGTGTTCATGTTTTAGAGTTTGATGATGCCACAATTTCCTTCTCATTATTTGTTTGGAATTAGCTCCACAAACCTGTCACATTAATCTTACGTCTTAAAGTCGGTTACCTGACAACAATCACATATTTGAGGTTAAATCATTGCATCACTTTCTGACTCTCTTTCATAAGAAAGTCGGTATCGAGGCAATTGAGCCAATTAGATTAGGATTAGGATTTTGCAGCTGTTAGCAGAGACTACCATGGATAATGTAGCATGTTGGTGTTGTTATATTCTGCTTCTGTGAAACGAACAATGTGCATTTCATCCATAGTTGCTGGATCAATGCATCTCTGTCCAATATACACATTTATTATTTTGAAAATTTTGACTCATTTAAAATGATACATGTACACAATTCATACAATACAAGTGTTGGAAATTCAGAAGGAAAAAAGAAAAAAAAAGTTTTTTTTTGTTTTTGTTTTGTTTTTAAATTCACAAAGCCCAAGGCAATTTATTAAAGCATTAAAAGTTTGTGCAGACTGTAGGTCCCTGTCAGCTGAACATGAGCAGTTTGTGGTTAGAAATTAGCATGTTGACTAGGCAAACTTTCTGAAGATACTGTGAAAAAATAATGCCTCTTCATTTATATTAACAGAGAAGATGTTGAACTTTGTACCAGTTTCTGTTTCATGTGGATAGGAACCGGTAAATACAGAAATATGAACCATAAACCAGATTAACAAATCTGCAATCTGACATAGGCTTGGTGAGATGGTACATGTGGTAAATATTTATCATGGTTTTACATAAGTTAAGTGGTGTGTTGTTTAGAAAGTTGAGTTTTAAAATGGAATGTCATCAACACGGAAAACTTGGTCCAAAATACAAGAACCATTTACGCACAAAGAAGACAGTACAAACCTTGTAATTCAGTAAACATTTTGTCATTTGTTTTTTTAGTCTAATCACTACTCATTTCATAATGTTTTTTTGTGAAATGAGTAGTTGAACCTCTCATATGCACCGTAAATATAGGAATCTGAGAATGTTGTGGCTCTCAGATGAGGATAAGAGACAATTTCCCTTATTGGTTACAGGGAACTTTACCAGGAAATATCCAAAAGGGAAATGAACAAATGTTTTACCTGATGATTTCTATGACTGACTAAACTCAAGAACTCAAGACTGTGTGCTGTTCCCTCCTCATAAAAGTTTGAGTTTGTAGTTTTTTTGTGATGAAAACAGAACAGAGAGACTCACCGTGAAGTGCAGAGTCCTGATGCAGGTTTGACTTTGATAAGAACATTTTTTTCCTGTTATTTCACTCCACGCCTCAAACCGCCAACTCTAATCTGACAAAACATCATCACGTGATGCTCCAGACAAAAACTACAGGAACAAAAACTAACCCTCTTTACCTAAAGAGACTGAATGTGCAGGTTTTGTTTATTTAAATTTATTCATAAGTTTGATCTTGTTTTTTTCCAACACCGTGACTTGAGTCTTGGGTAATAAACAAAAAACATATTCACAAATGCAACTCGCTCACCTTTATTTTTATCAGTCTGATCATAAGTGTTGTGTAACTTAAACCTGTTTTGGTTCTTGTTTTCATTACGGTTGTTGAGAAGATGGAATTCTGTGTACGTCACATCTGCTGCTCGTGTCCAACCAGGACGTGACAATATTAACTTCACCAAAATAAAATGAATAAAAATAGAAAAAGCCAGATTTTAGTCAACTCTTTAAGTATAATTATGTGAACTCTGTTCTCTTTTCTCTTCAGAATTCCTCCCTCTTCATGTGAGATCCTGCTCCTCACTTTAAAAACCTCAGAAAAACACATTTTTTTCAAGATTCAACAGCCCATGAGCTTTACTCTGAAGATGTCGACTTTAGACTTTTATCTTTGTGTATTAAGACAATTTTTCATGTAATATTTGATATATTTGATATTTGTTTTATTGTTTCACTTTGTTGTGTTTTATGCTGTTAAACACTTTGGTGCAACTTGTTATGGTTGTTTTAAATGTGTTATTTAAATAAAATGACTTGACTTTTGTGAATTGTAAGAATTAGTAGAATGTTGTGACATCGGCCGATTCAGGAGGAGCAGAAATGTTTTTGTGTGATGAACATAAAAAAACAAGATTAAAAAAACACATTTCTGCACTAACATTTGTTTTACTATAGAAAGTTTCAGGTGAGTCTTTTTTTTTTATGTACTAAAATTACTTCACATGGCTGTTGAACACAGTGTGTATCACTGTTTAAAAATAAACTAAAATAAAATTGGAGAAAGAAGAACAGAGCCGTCTGTGTTTACTGAATGAATAATGCATCAAGCTGAAAAAACGACTTTGAGTGTCTAGAAAAATAATGTATAAAACTAATGCATTATTATTATTATTATTATTATTATTAGTATAGTATAGTAGTAGTAGTAGTAGTAGTAGTAGTAGTAGTAGTAGTAGTAGTAGTAGTAGTAGTAGTAGTAGTAGTAGTAGTAAGTAGTAGTAGTAGTAGTAGTAGTAGTAGTAGTAGTAGTAGTAGTAGTAAGTAGTAGTAATAGTAGTAGTAGTAGTAGTAGTAGTAGTAGTAGTAGTAGTAGTAGTAGTAGTAGTAGTAGTAGTAGTAGTAGTAGTAGTAGTAGCAGTAGTAGCAAGTAGTAGTAGTAAGTAGTAGTAGTAGTAGTAGTAGTAGTAGTAGTAGTAGCAGTAAGTAGTAGTAAGTAGTAGTAGTAGTATATAGTAGCAGTAGTAGTAGTAGTAGTAGTAGTAGTAGTAGTAGTAGTAGTAGTAAGTAGTAGTAGTAGTAGTAGTAAGTAGTAAGTAGTAGTAGTAGTAGTAGTAGTAGTAGTAGTAGTAGTAGTAGTAGTAGTAGTAGTAGTAGTAGTAGTAGTAGTAGTAGTAGTAGTAGTAGTAGTAGTAGTAGTAGTAGTAGTAGTAGTAGTAGTTATATATTAGTATTATAAGTATTAAAAGTCATATATAATTTATATTATAGTAAGTAGTTGTTGTTAGTTTCTCAGTGACAGTGAAGTTGTGAAATAATTAGGAAACTCTGAATGCAGAAGGTAAGTGAAGAATAAATTTGGACACTGCAAACGTTTAAAATGAACGACTGATACTTACAGTGACATCACCCTGGGTTCTAAGTTCACCAACCCCCTGCCCATGGAAAGATGAATGCAACGTATGTTTTGATTCTCTTTTGTTTTTTTATTTTTTCTCCATATGTGAAGCATCGTCAAGTGAACACAATATAAATGTGATGAATTATAATTGTTTGCAGGATAAAGTTAAAATCTCAAACAGTTGTCGACATTTACAAAATCTGTGCACTGCTCAGCCCCATCCCCACCACACACACTTCACAAAGTCATAAAGTTACACAGAGTCCTTCTTTTATGTCACTGTGTTTTCACTTTCACCACAGACACTGAACTGTCATCCCCCACACCCCAAACCCAAACCCAGCGAACAGAGGCTCAGTGAAGGAGGAGGTGAAGGTGTAGAGATGGAACAGTGTTCTGTCAGTGAGGACCTCATAGAAGGACAAAGATCCAGCCTCAGTGTCCAGGAACACACCCACTCTGCCAGAGAACTCACACGCTTTTCTAATGTAAGTTTACGTGGAGAGTAGATTGTTTTTTCTGTGCTGTTGTGGTGGACTCTGTATTCGTCCATAATTGACCTGTAGACTCCAGGACTGATCATTTTCTCCAAACTTACTCTCCTTTCCTGTTCCTCTCCGTCTGATTCTTCTGTAACTCACTGCAATATCAACCCAACCTCTCCAGTACACCTCCCAGTAACAGCGCCCCCTCAGGCCAGTGGAGCTCAGGACCTGATAGTAGTTTCTGAATCTGTCCTCATGATCTGGATACAGCTGCTCCTCTTCTCCCAGGTGACTCTCTGTTTGTCCTCAGACAGTTTGAGTTTCTCTATGAATTGTGTTTGGGTCCAGAGAGAACTCACAGGAGTCTGAAAAACACAAACAGCTGAGTTAAAACTACAAATACAACAGGTCAAATTTAAAGGAACTAGAGATGGTTCTACTTTGTCTTTGACCTACAATATGTTGTTAATTTATAATTTATAACAAAATAAAAATAGAAAATAATATTTTCTCTGGACTTCCCTTTGAGTTTTCTGTTTCTGCTTTGGACTGAGGACTCACATTTTCTGAGACCTGGGACCATCCAACACTCTCCAGCAGGATCCAACCTGAAACACACAAGTCCAGTTTAGACCAGACCAGAGACCAGGATCTGGACCCACCATGGACCAGAGACCCACTGAACCAGGACCCACACCTGGGGCACACCTGACAGACAGCAGGGGGCGCTGGTCCCGTAGAGCGGTCAGGAGCTCTGCTGAGGGTCCTGGATGGTTGTAGCTCAGGTCCAACTCTCTGAGGTGGGAGGGGGCGGAGCTCAGAGCTGAGGCCAGAGCAGCCCCGCCCCTCTCTGAGACCAGACATCCAGACAGCCTAAAGACACAGCATTACACTCATGTGGACACAAGGGGGCAGAGTGCATCATGGGAGCGTCTCACCTGAGCGTCTCCAGTCTGCAGGGGGCGCTCTTCAGTCCAGAACACAGCAGCTCCACTCCTGAGTCCTGGAGGTCGTTGTGACTGAGATCCAGATGTGTGAGACTGGAGGAGCTGAGGACTGAGGCCAGAGGACCACAGCTGTGAGGGGACAGACCACAGCCACAAAGACTGAGGACAGAGAGGGACATTAGAGACTAGAACCTCCACACAAGAGTTTAAATACAGTCTGGACTCACAGGGCTTTGGTGGAGGCTCTGACCACCGGCAGCAGACCCAGGAGAGCTCTCTCTGAGCCCTGGTATTTCCTCAGGTCAAACTCCTCCAGGTCTGAGTCTGAGGACAGTAAGATGAAGGACAGAGCAGACCACTGAGCAGGAGACATGTGTATATCAGAGAGACGTCCTTCTCTCATGTTCTTCTGTATCTGCTCCAGCAGACTGTGGTCGTTGAGTTCGTTCAGACAGTGGAGCAGGTTCATTCTTCTCTCTGCAGACAGACCCTCTTCATTCAGCTTCTGTTTGATGTACTTTACTGTCTCCTGATTGGTCCGTTCACTTCCTGTGTGAGTCAGCAGACCCTGCAGCAGCCTCTGATTGGTCGGCAGAGACAGCCCCAGGAGGAAGCGCAGGAACAGGTCCAGGTGTCCGTTTGGACTCTGTAAGGCCTGGTCCACAGCAGAGCGGTGGAGAAATATCAGTTCATTCTTTTTTTCAAATAATCGTGTAAACAAAGAAGTTTGTTGGACCAGCAGGTTGATTCCAGACTCAGTGAAGGCCTGATGGACGTGAAGAGCAGCCAGAAACTCCTGCACACTCAGATGGATGAAGCAGTAGACCTTGTCCTGGTACAGGGCTGGCTCCTCTCTAAAGACCTGTGTGAACACTCCGGAGTACACTGAGGCCGCTGCAGCGTCCAGCCCACACTCGCTCAGGTCACTCTCGTAGAAGATCAGGTTTCCTTTCTGCAGCTGCTCAAAGGCCAGTTTTCCCAGAGACTTCACCATCTCCCTGGTCTCTGGAGTCCAGTGAAGGTCCTCCCCTGATCCCTGGTGATACTTGATGTTCTGGACTTTGGCCTGCACCACCAGGAAGTGGACGTACATCTGTGTGAGAGTCCGGGGCAGCTCTGGTTCCTCTGTTTGTTCCAGAAGCTTCTGTAGAACTGTGGAGAGGATCCAGCAGAAGATCGGCATGTGGCTCATGATGTGGAGGCTGCGGACGCTCTTGATGTGGGAGATGACGGCTGTGGCCTGGTCTCTGAACCTCTTCCTGAAGTACTGCTCCTTCTGCGGGTCGGTGAACCCTCGCACCTCTGTCACCATGGAGACGCACTCAGCAGGGATCTGATTGGCCGCGGCGGGGCGCGTGGTTATCCAGAGGAGAGCGGAGGGAAGCAGGCTCCCCCTGATGAGGTTCACCAGCAGCACGTGCACTGAGGCGGACTCTGTGGGGTCGGTCAGGACCCGGGTTTCGGCCGAAGTCCAGAGGAAGTCTGCACTCGTCCAGACCGTCAAAGATGAAGAGCACCTGGAGCTGTTGGAAGCTGCAGAGATCTTTGGATGGACTGAAGAAGTGGTGCAGCAGCTCCACCAGGCTGAACTGTGTGTCTCTGAGCACATTGAGCTCTCTGAAAGTGAACGGGAACAGCAGCTGGAGGTCCTGGTGGGCCCGGCCTTCAGCCCAGTCCAGACTGAACTTCTGAGTCAGCACTGTTTTCCCCACGCCGGCCACGCCCTTCGTCAGCACTAATCTGATTGGCTGTGGTGAATGTGGGCGGGGTTTAAAGAGCTCTTCACATGTGATGGTCTCTGGAGCGGCCGGTCTCCTGGACGCCGTCTCCATGTGTCTGACCTCATGTTCCTGGTTGACCTCTGAGGCTCCGCCCTCTGTGATGTAGAGCTCTGTGTAGATCTGGGTCAGGGGGGCGGAGTCTCCTGCTTTAGCCACGCCCTCAAACACACGACTGAATCTTTTCTGCAGATGCCTCTTCAGTTTCACTTTGCACACTTCAACTTCAGTCCCTGAGGAAGACAACAGAGGCCCTCAGTGAACTCACAATCTCCAAATACATAAAACTGTAAAGGTGGAATTCAGCTCCACAGTACTGATGCTGACGCCAACAAATCCATTTCTGTTATTCAGTATATAGTGATTTACAAATTGTGACATAATGAATTACTTGTTTCATAAATTATAACAAAAGAAGATCCTATATATTTTGGTTCAGGAGGAAGATGCTAATAATTAGGACAATAAAATAATCGGAGGGACACAAAGCTGTGATTTTAGAAGAAAGAATAATTCAAACACACATGTAAATAACTTTTCACATGTCTGTTTATGTCACAGTGGCTTTAGTTTCATTCAGAGTTGTGCTTAAAGCTGGTTACACACTAGAGTGATGCTCGTCTATTAGACTCTGAATAAAAGTGAACGGAGGATTTCACAGTTTGGTCATGGACTGACTGATCTGCAGGATTAACTTCTTGTGCATGTTTTGGCTCGTTCTCATAGACTGTATAATTGAAGTGGAGTAAGGGAATGTGACACATTCATAGTGTTTGGTTACAACCAAATGAAGCTCAGCGAGGCCAGCAGTTATAACAGCTCATATACAAACACGGAATATTTTTGAAAATCTGAGTACAAAAACAAAGAGCCAATCAGGAGTGAGATTGTTGAAAGTACACGCCCCCTCCCGCTCACTCTGCTGGTTTGTCAGGGGGCAGGTGCTTAAAACCAAGGCTGTCAATCAAACTGTGACTAACACTAGTGGGAGCGGCGTCAGGGGTAACGGAGGCACCTGATTGTTTTGTTCATCATGTACATATACACTGCTCAAAAAAATGAGAGGAACATTCTGAAAACACCTCAGATCTCAGTGTGAAATGTGTTGGACATCTATACAAATATAGAAATGTCTTAGGAACAAAAGGATGCTCCTCTTTAAAAAAAAAAAAAAAAAAAATTGAAATAAAGTGTTTCAGCCGACAGAGGGTTTAATTTTACAGACACCCTGAAAATCAAAGTGAAATAATGATGTGGCCAGTCCATTCTGATGTAATTTCTGCAACTCAAAATGCTTCTGAATCTCTTGTGTGGCCCCACGTGCTCGTGTTCATTTGACATCATGGCATGATGACCAGATCACTGAGCTCCTGTAGAGTCTGAGGAACAACCTGGATGGATGGACCCAAACATAATGTCACAGAGATGTTCTATCAGCTTTAAGTCAGGTGATTGTGAGGGACCTTCAGTCGTATCAATTCTCCATCCTCCAGGTTCTGTCTGTAGACTCTTACCACATGAGGACGGGTGTTCGTGCATCAGGAGGAACCCAGGACCTGCTGCACCAGCGTAGGATCGGACAATGAGTTGAAGGACTGCCGGTTTCTTGCTGGTAGAGGTCTGTGCGTCCCTCCATGGATCTGCCTCCCTCAAACCATCACTGACCCACCACCAAACCACTCATGCTGAACCATGGTGCAGCAGCAGAGTGTTCTTCTCATCTTTTCCAGACTCTTTCACGTCTACCACAGAAGCTCAGGGTGAGCTGTCATCTGTGAAATGCACAGGGCACCATTGGAGGACTTGACTTGCTCCATGGTGCTGGTGTGGTGCCGAGCACAGGGCTCACTACAGGACGCGGTGCCCTCAAGCCACCCTCATGAAGTCTGTGATTGTTTGGGGGCAGTGCTCACCCTGTTCCTCCTGCACAAAGGAGCTGATGGGTTGAGGATCTTCTACGTCCCTGTCCAGCTCTCCTAGAGGATCCTGAAAGCTCCTCCATGTTCTGGAGACACATTAAACCTCTTGCAATGGCACATCCAGATGTCCCATTCTGGAGAAGTTGGACAATCTGTGCAGCTTCTGTAGGGTTAAAGAACGGCCTCATACTATCAGTGGTGATAATCACTGTAGCCAAAGCAGCACTAGTGGAAAACCAGCCAAAAAAGACCAAGAGGAGAAACTTCAAATGAGCTCCACTTACAAAACCAGTCCTGTTTTAGGGGTCGTCTCACTGGTGCTGCTCTAGTGCAGAAAAGAGGAGCATCCTTTTGTTCCTCAGACACTGCCCTGTCCACATTTCATTTTCAATTTTCGTTTTCAGTGTGTTTTATAATTTTTGTGAGCAGTATATTAATTTAGGGACAAAACAGTGAAATAAAGCAACATTTATGGAGAAAGGGGTGAAGATTTTTCAATAGAAATCAACTGCAACCAGAGCTTGAAGAAACTACTTCACGCTCTTGTTCACTTCCTGTTTGGAACATGGCGACTAGCAGACTAACTATGTCCATTTATATACAGAGTCTGTGGTTGTTCTTACTGTTCCTGCAGACGCTGGGCCAGATGTTCCTGGTCCATCCTCTTCAGGAAGTCCAGGGTGATGTTCAGAACCTCTGTGCTCAGCTCCTCACCCTCAGAGCATTCTGGGTAATCTGAGGCCAGGAGCCTGTGGAGCCTCTGCAGCTGCTGTTGGACATAAACCAGGACCTGCTCTCAGAACCTGAAACACACAGTTTGGACTAAAGTATTGGCTCTGATCCAGGAAAGATGGAAGGTCCAGGTGAAAGCAATAAAACAGAACTGTGCTTTTCCTCTTATGATGCTCTGGACCAGCAAAGACTCAGCTCCTACAAAAGTGCATTTGAAACACGACTCCTTAACCTCGTGCTGCAGCTCGACTGTTTTGAGTTTTCAAACTATTTTCTGACAGAAAATGTTCATTGTTTGTGTGTTGGCCATAAGGGTGAAAAAGGAAGGCAACAAAAACATTTAAACATATAATCAAAAAACGGAAAAAAGTCCAAGGGTCTTGAGTCTTGAGCAGTGGAGCTCCTCAGGGCTGTGTACTTTCCCCTCACTCTTCTCCCTGTAGCACACACACTGCCCCTCAGCCTCCATGTGAACCTGAATACTACACTATACTGAAACCTTTTCTACCATGGACGAATGAGGGATCACACCGACACTGCCCACTAAACCAAATGAGGACGAACTGTGGTGATGAAAAACTAATTGTGATCGATTCTTGTGATGAAGCAACAGACGCTTTAGTCGCCTGTGACTGTGTGACTGACAGATGTGTGACTTCAGGATGAGCACTAAAAATATTAGTTATTTTTTCAGTACTTACAGTAAATACAGTGTCCAGATGGGGCGCTCTCCTCTGCTTTCCTCTAGACTCAGCTTCTCTCTGTGGATCAGTATAGAGTTTAAGGATCTCCCCTCTCCCCAGACGCTTCCCCCTCCCCTTTAAAGCACAGTCCAGGTACAGAGAGACACTTACAGGCCTGAAGCAGCTTTAAACTCTGGACCTGGATCTCTGGAGCGGTCACTCTGCAGAGACTCACAGCTCTGAGCACAACTCCTGTCAAACAAACACTTTATGTGACAAATGCATTTATGTGCACCATCCTGTTTTTAGTTTTGCAGTTTATGAACAAAACAAACCCTTTAAAGTTCGGAACCCAGCCCTTTAGACATGTCACTCTTCACAGAAACTGGACCAGGTTTAGGCCCAGATCCGGGTGGGTCCATCTCGGTCCTGCACAAAACAAAGACATGAGAACTACACTCCAGCTCCAGCTCTTGGTGCCTAAGACGGGACTTAAAACCGGGGGGAAAAGCCTTCTCTGTGTTCAGCCCTAAGCTCTGGAACACTCTGCCCTCCATGTTTGAACAGCCCCCACAGTGGAGAGTTTTAAGTCTCATCTTAAGACCCACTTTTATTCTCTGGCTTTTAACACCACGTGAGTTTTGTGGTCCTCTGTGTCCTTTATTTTTTTTACTTATTTTATTTATTTTTTATGTATTTTTATTGGTTTTATTTATGTATTGATATTCTATGATTTTGCTTTTATTTTATTTTACAGTTTTTATTATTTAAAGTCTAGTATGATTATTTTAGCAGTTTATTTTATCATTTTGTTATTGTTGTTATTATTATGTATTTGTGCAGCACTTTGGAAACTGTGTGAAATGTGCCATAGAAATAAAGTGGACTGAATTGGATTCTCTGTCACCTGTGGCTCGTGGAGTAAATGGAGGATTGTGTAGTTAACAGTGTCCAGAGGTCAGTCAGGTCTGTAGTCAGTACTGGGGCTGTGCTGTCACACTGTGTGTCCATTATACACACATAATTTTATTCACACTTTACACTGAATGTCTCCACTCAGAAATCATTCAAGTAATTAGACTCAACAAACCTTTTAAAATCAGGACCCCAGTCCTTTGCTCTTATCGCTCTTCACAGAAACTGGACCAGGTTTAGGTCCAGATCCGGGTGGGTCCATCTTGGTCCTGCACAAAACAATGACATGAGAACTATGGTAAACAAAGAAACATTTAAAATACAGTGAACAATATTCAGAGAAACAAACAGCCTCGACACAAGAGGAAGTATCAGCTCTGTAGAGAGAACAGCTCTGGCCCACAGTCTGCGGTTCACCTCCACCTTAAACCCACACACTCCTCTGAACACAAAGAGTGACGTCACTATTTGTTCTTCTTTTAATTTCAGTTAGCCAGTTCAGTAGTTTTGTGTTAATCAGTTCTGTTTATGCTTTCTGTTTTGTGTCTGGTGTTCAGCCTGCAATTCAAAGTGCAAGTCCATTCCTGAATTGAAGTCAATGCATGAAACTGTAATTTCACAATTTCAGTGTAATCAGAATATTGCTATCAATCTAAATTTGTCAATTGCTCATTCATCCCTGTACTTGTGCTTCCATCACAGTGACTGGGTCATGCACTCCAGCCACCCTGCTACTTGTGCAGACACTGTGCTGAAGACGTGTGAGAGCTTGTGCTCTACTCCGAGCTACATGTAGCTCCTCATCTCACCCGCGGAAGAAAATTCGCTTGCGATCTCATCCTTTCGTCTACCCAAGCTCATGACCAACTCATTCAAACGGTCGATCACTTGCAATCTGTCAATCTCAGTCTCACTGAACAAGACTTGAACTCCTCCACTGGAAATTCCTGAATTGATAAACTTCAGACTTGGAAGAGCTGACCTCATCCCAGACACTTCACACTCGGCTACAAATCGCCCCAGTGCTGCAGGTCCTGGTCTGATGAAGGCAACAGGACAACATCATCTGCAAATAACAGAGATGAGATCCTGTGGTCCCCAAACTGGACCCCCTCCTGGCCCCTGACGGCGCCTAGAAATTCTGTCCTTAAAAACAATGAACAGAACCGGTGACAGGGGCGGCCCTGGCGGAGTCCAACCACTGGGAACAGGTCTGACTTACTGCCGACAATGAACACAGGGACCAGGGACCGGACAGCCCTTAGCAAAGAGCCCCGGACCCCATACTCCCAGAGCACCCCCCACAGGACACCACGAGGGACACGGTCGAATGCCTTCTCCAGATCCACAAAGCACCATGTGGACTGGTTGGGCAAACTCCCATGAACCTCGAGCACCGATGGAGAGTGTAGAGCTGGTCCAGTGTTCCACGGCCAGGACGAAAACCACACTGCTCCTCCTGGACCCGAGGTTTGACTATCGGACCGGATTCTCCTCTCCAGTCCCTGGCATAGACCTTACCGGGGAGGCTGAGGAGTGTGATTCCCCCTGTAATTGGAACACACCCTCCGGTCCCCCTTCTTATACAGAGGGACCACCACCCCGGTTTGCCAGTCCAGAGGCACTGTCCCCGACCGCCACGCGATGTTGCAGAGGCGTGTCAGCCAAGACCCACAACATCCAGAGACTTAAGATACTCAGGACGGATCTCATCCAACCCCAGAGCCTTGCCACCAAGGAGCTTTCCAACCACCTCAGTGACTTCAGCCAGGGTGATGGATGAGTCCGCCTCCGAGTCCCCAGTCTCGGCTTCCTCCTCGGAAGACGTGACGGTGGGATTGAGGAGATCCTCAAAGTTTTCCTTCCACCGCCGGACAACGTCCCCAGTCGAGGTCAACAGCTCTCCCCCCGCACTGTAAACAGTGTTGGTGAAGAACTGCTTCCCCCTCCTGAGGTGCCGGACGGTTTGCCAGAATCTCTTTGAGGCCGTCCGATAGTCCTTCTCCATGGCCTCCCCGAACTCCTCCCAGCTCCGAGTTTTTGCCTCCGCAGCAGCACGGGCTGCAGCACGCTTGGCCCACCGGAACCCGTCAGCTGCCTCAGGAGTCCCACGAGACAACAAGGCCCGATAGGACTCCCTCTTCAGCTTGACGGCATCCCTTACTTCTGGTGTCCACCACCCGGTTCGGGGATTGCCGCCGCGACAGGCACCACAGACCTTACGCCCACAGCTACGAGTGGCCACATCGACAATAGAGGCTGAGAACGAAGCCCACTCGGACTCCATATCCCCAGCCTCCCCCAGAATCTGTAAGAAGCTCCTGGAGGTGCGAGTTGAAAGTCCGTCAGACAGAGGCTCCACCAGACGTTCCCAACAGACCCTCATGATACGCTTGGGCCTCCCAGGTCTTTCTGGCTTTCTCCTCCGCCAGCAAACCCAACTCACAACCAGGAGGTGCTCTACAGCTCTGCCCTCTCTTCACCCGAGTGTCCAAGACACACGGCCGAAGTTCAGATGACACGACTACAAAGTCGATCATCGACCTCCGGCCTAGGGTGTCCTGGTGCCACGTGCACTTATGGACACCCTTGTGCTCGAACATGGTGTTTGTTCTGGACAAACTGTGACTAGCACAGAAGTCCAATAACAAAACACCACTCAGGTTCAGATCAGGGAGGCCGTTCCTCCCAATCACCCCTCTCCAAGTGTCACTGTCGTTGCCCACGTGGGCGTTGAAGTCCCCCAGGAGAACAACGGAGTCCCCGGTCGGTGCACTGTCTAGTACCCCTCCCAGGGGCTCCAAGAAGGTCGGGTACTCGAGTACTCTACACTGCTGTTCAGCCTGTAGGCCGACACCACAGTGAGAGACCTGTCCCCGACCAGAAGGTGTAGGGACGCGACCCATTCTGGGCGATGTAACTGGCCTCCATGTGGACATCTTCATAAAGGGCTTCTGAACGTTCTTTGTCTGACCCGTCCCCCAGGACCTGTTTACCTTGGTCTGGCATGAAGCCCCCGACAACAGAACTCCCAGGATCATTTGGGCTCAAACCCTCCACCACGATGAGGTGACGGTTCATGAGGGGCAGAAAATAAATGACTAGATTAAAATAATCTCAAATTTGATTATTTTTTGTCAGCATAATTTCTTTCAATGTTTATTAATTACGATTACTCAAAATACATTAAATGTATTTTTATATATGTATTTATTCCTAAACCTAGAAGACACTGAATGTATATATATTAAACTTATATTCTTACAGAAAGCCCAGAATAATTCACAATAACATTTGGCCTAGATGAAGACGAGGGCTGATGATAAAGTGGATTATGAATAAGGCCAATGCTTTATTTATTAGTATTCAGATTTACTATTATCGTTTACTACAGCAAGAACCACATGAGTTTTATTTCCTGTGACGTCAACAAGTTCACCTGTCCCAAAGCTGAGAGAGCAGAGTTTGTGCTGTGAACGCCTCAAGTCCATTGTTCATCTGAGTCTGTGCACAAGTCTGTGTCCAGGAGGAACTGACAAACACTCGTTTTGGCCTGGATTTGACCTGGTTCAGTTCTAGTTCAGTCTTGTCTTAGTCCTGGTCGAGTTCTGCATGAGTTTGTAGTTTTTGGTGATAAAAACAGAACAGAGAGACTCACCGTGAAGTGCAGAGTCCTGGTGCAGGTTTGACTTTGACAAGAGTTTTTCTCCTGATTATTTCCTCCTCCCTCTGCTCTGGTGTTTCACTCACTGATGAGATGGAACTTTCTCTCAAAGTGTTTCCTGCTCAAATCACACAATCAGAAAGTTCTTAACGAACTAAACTCAACTAAGTACGCTCAGAATGTAAAACGTTTAAAGTGTTGAATGTGAGATACACTTGGTCACAAGAACAAACCACAGTCATGAACTCAGCAGCTTCACTTCTGCTTAAGTCAGGCAGTTCAGGATCTAAGTTCCTCTTTTACTGTCTGTCACATTTTGTTTACTTTTGATTTAGTCTCTCGTTCAGTTTGGATTAACACCTGATTTATTAGTACTGGTTCAGTCTGGGTTTAGTCCAGGTCAAGTTCTGCATGAGTTTGTAGTTTTTTTGTGATAAAAACAGAACAGAGAGACTCACCGTGAAGTGCAGAGTCCTGATGCAGGTTTGACTTTGACAACAGCCTCCCTCCTGCCTCCTACCTCCTCCCTCCTGCTTCCTACCTCCTCCCTCCTGCTTCCTACCTCCTCCCTCCTGCTTCCTACCTCCTCCCTCCTGCTTCCTACCTCCTCCCTCCTCTCTCTGAAGGTGGAGACATTTGAGTCTTTATCAGTGTTTATTACATTCAGATCACAGACAATAAAATACTTGTCCTCTGTTCCTTACAAACCTTTAACCACATAAGTCTGATTTACAGCACAAACTCACACTTTTCACATTCACATTTTTCATATTTGTATTTTTGTGAACAATGATCAGTTATAGACACATTTACTCAAATAAAAGAGTCAAACATTTGGACTTGTTGCCCAAGCGTCCATGTTGGTGTGAGACACAAATTTAATCTGATTTAAGAGAAACAGATCAAGAGACAAAACCTTTATGTTTTTAAGATAGAATTTAAATTTGATGATTGTGACAAAGCAAAAGTGACACACAAATAAAATAAAATACAAAACAGAAACAGTGCGGACTCAAAAAGCAAAGCAAAAAAAAAAAAAAAAAGTCCTGGTTCAGTCCTGGTTTAGACCTGGTTTATTCCTGGTTCAGTCCTGGTTTAGTCCTGGTTTGGTCCTGGTTCAGTTCTGGTTCAGTCCTGGTTTAGTCCTGGTTCAGTCTGGTTTAGCCTCGTTCTGGTTGTGGTTTTGTGGACTGTGGTTATTTGCTGCAGTTTAAATTTGCCCGTTTACGAGACACGAGGAATAAAATCTGAGTTTGTTTTGTGGCGTCTCTGTGTCCGTCGCTCCTCTGCCCCTGACGATCTGTTTTATCGGCTCTTATCGTAGCGTCGCCGATATTCAGCGGTTACGATCTGACGGAGCGGCTCAGAATCACAAAAACACCACAGACACGAGGAACGCGGCGGCTTCACGATCGCACACCGACACACGAAGTCACTCACGCCTCCGCAAACTCCACGAGAAGAAAACCTCAGACTAAATCCACCAAATTCTCCTGTCGCGTGTGACGCCTTTAGTCAAATTAGTAGAGTCTGATAACGAACGAAAAAACACAATAAACCATGACTCACATACAGGACTAAACCAGACTCACTAAACCAGGACTAAACCAGGACTGAACAGGTCTAAACCAGGACTAAACCAGGACTGAACCAGGTAAACCAGGACTAAACCAGGACTGAAACCAGGTCTAAACAGGACTAAACCAGGACTAAACCAGGTCTAACCAGGAACCAGGACTAAACCAGGTCTAAACCAAACCAGGACTAAACCAGGTCTAAACCAAAACCAGGACTGAAACCAGGACTAAACCAAGACTAAACCAGGACTAACCAGGACTAAAGGTCTAACAACAACGAACCAGGAAACAGGACTAAACCAGGACTGAACCAGATCCAAACCAGGACTGAATCAGGACTAAACCAGGTCTAAACCAGGACTAAACACTAAACCAGGACTAAACTAGGACTGAACAGGTCTAAACAGGACTGAACAGACTAAATCAGGACTAAACCAGGTTAACCAGGACTGAACCAGGACTAAATCAGGACTGAACAAGACGGAACACTGTTTTAGTTAAATCGTTCCCACGTTTTATTTAAATTGTTCCCCGTTTTAGTTAAATTGTTCCCCACGTTTTTAATTCGTTCCCACGTTTTTATTAATCGTTCCCACGTTTTACTTAATCATTCCATGTTTTATTTAAAGGTTGTATAGAGGATTTTCCAAGGAACAAGAAATCCAGCAACTGTTTGTCGTTTTTCAAATGTTGCGCATGTGTGAAACCACCTCCCTCCCCTACAGCTCCTACGTAGAAAACCTCCTCCTCTTTACGCCACAAACAGGTTTGTTTACAGCCGGTGCTGCACATGACTTGTAAACAACTAACTACAGTGTTGGTTAGGCAAGACGGAGAAGTGAGGAGCAGGGGAGAGCGGAACGGGCAAGCGGGGAGGGAGCAGGAAAGGGGGCAGAGAAGAGTGCGCGGAGATTCAGTGCGAATGAACTAACTACAACACGCAGCAGCAAGCGGACTCTTTCTTTGCCTTGAAATGACGTTTTCAAGACATAGGATATCACATTCGTTCCTGAAAAACGTTTGTCCAGCTTTTGGAAATAAAGTACGTTTTCATAATAAGCAGAAGTTTCCTGTCCGGAGTAATTTGTCGACGAGTGCGTCAGTCTTTAGACCCTTCGTCTGCTTCAGTTGCACCATCGCTGGAATGAATCTCCAAGAATCACCTTAGTTTGGCTTCGCTGCTTTTCTCCTTGTCTTCTTCTTTCAGCGACCTCAAAAACGGACTTTCTTTTGCGGCGAACTGCTCCTGGATTCTTGTCGCCATTGCAAACAAACTTTGTGCGAACTGCGAGGAAGATATAGGTCAAAAGCCAACTAAGAACTGTTGCGTTGGTGGAGTAAACAGCGTCTGTGCGTCTTGCGTCTGTGGACTGCGTGAACAGGCGTACATAACCACGTAATGGCAGCG